AAAAACCCTTTAGGTAAATGAACCATGTTCTTAAGCGACCAAACAAACGGCACTTTACTCGACTCCAATCCTTCCGCTATCGCCGCAAGCTCTCCAGGAGGCGGTGTCATAACCGTACCAAAGCTAATGTACGCTACAGAACCAGGGGGTCGCTTCTCCATCCAAGCCAAACAACCGTGAGGATCGTTCACTGAGGCCTCCCATTGCGATAACAACGCGAGAGGACCGATGTTTAGGTAGCGTTTGAATTCCGATTTGAGGTTAGCGGTAAATGTAGGATCCAGTTCTTCGAAAGAATTGATGAAAACCGCAGTGGCACGGGGTAAAGCACGACCCATTCGGTGCAACATGTTAGAGAAAACAGAGTCTAAAGGTCCAAACACAACTCCTTCTTGCGTATCTTTGACTCTGATCTTCTCCATTCCTGATATAAAACCTAATGTCTCCTCCATACGTCCACCTACTTCTGTAAATTAAGCAGTAATCAAAATCTTTACCACAAATAAATATAATCCTCTAACTCATATTATTCTGATCCTCTGTTTCCTCTTTTAGCTAAATTTCCTTTAATTGCGTATTTATTTATGAGATAAAGGACAAAGTATATCTGTATAGTTTTTATTACCATTGACGCCGATGGTTTCTCTGATGAGATCTGTGTAGAAATGAGCAGTGAGGGAGTTAGCTCCGGCGGTCCAAAACGCGATCCACGACGCATTCATCTCCGTGGCCATATCAGCCGCGAACCAGAAAAACGCATCAGTCAACATGCATTTCACTTTCCTACCAACCTCTTTCTCCGCCGCGACGATTTCTCTCTTGAAACTCTCCGGCGCCGATTCGATAAACAGCTCGATCGCCTCCTGTGGTTTCCCAGAGAACACGTATCCCTCCGGAACACCGTCGGGAACATCGTGGACTCGAATGTTCGCCGGAAGATCGTCGGAGGAGGAGAACAACGAGGAGTTAGATTGAGCGGTGTTGAAGAAGGAGAAGACGGTGGAGGGGGAGGAGGAGGCGAGACGGCGAGTGACGGCGAGGAGAGGAGCAGCGTGAGTGCCGAAGGGGAAAGCGAGAACAGCCACGTGGGAGTCTCCGGTAGGCTCAGAAGGTTTGGCCATGGTGAGAGAGTTAATGTATTGAAGTGAGGAAGCTAAAGAGAGTGTGAATAAATATATATATAGAGAGAGGAAGACGGGAAATATGGTTGAGGATGAGCCACCGGGCAAGTATAAAGTTGGTTGCCTGGTTGGTAACGCTTATTCACCATTTATATAGGTCTTATTTTGACTTTTTCTCCAAATTCATTTCAATTATGTAATTTTTATTTTCTTTCGAAAAAGGATATTTTTGGATTTGTGACATTTGTTTTTTTTAATGTTATGATTGTTATCTAAAAGCCAATTATAAGAAACTCTATTTGGTTAAAAAATAAAATAAATTATAAGAAATAAGTTACTTGATTCCTACTATAACATGTATCAAATTAAGAAATGAAATGTTGTTGACCGTTGTATAAATTCGTTTGAATAGTAAAAAGACACTTATGGGATTTTTCTTGCATAAATTGTTTAAAAAAAAAAAAAAAAGTGTTTACAAAATGTAAAAATTAAGATTAGAGAACCAAATGCTTCATACCAACCACAAAACACATCCCAAACCATCGTTGGCTGGTAAAACAAACAAAAAGGCAATCAATGCGTAGGAGACCGACCATATACAGTACGTGTATGTCCCATTTTGGAATCTAAATATTAAACAGACGAGTGAGTCGTGTTGTGTATGCTTTTGTTGAGAGAAACCTTGTGGTCTTTGTCCCTAGCTTGTTACATTTAATGTTGACAATTATAACGATATATATATGTATTAAGTACTTTATAACATGAGAATTTGTGACCCCTAAAATCTAGTTATCCAAGGCTGAGAGATATGGTAACTAGATTGACTCTTACAAAAGCTTTTTTTTCGTTTTCTTTCTGTTTTGGTTGGTAAAATTAGTGGTTCGTGGGAGTTCTCTCATGAATGCAGATCTGTCCTTCCACGTTAGAGAAATAATAATATCATCACCCACCCACAATATCATGGATCTTTACTCCTAGTTTCGTGTGTGCCTAAACAAACAAGAAGATATTATTTTTATTAACCAAAACGTGTTTATGCTCCGTAATTGTAAACAAGAGTTTCTAACCCAAGAGATTTGTGCAGAATGTAAATCTATTAATATACCATTTAATCCGGTATTATGCTACTTTTTATTATAGCATGCATTTCATTTTATTATGAAATTTTCATTATTTGCTATTGTTATTATTTTATTTTTTCTATCCTAATTTCATAATTTGCTACTATTATTCAACAAAATGGAGAGCTTGTCGTAAGTAATATATTTAATTTTTTTTTTTTTTTTTAAAAAACGAAGATCAATATGAATGAAGCGTTGTTGTGGAGACTTGGTCCTGAAATCTCTCAGAAATTTCATCACCTGTGTCCTCATTTTGTCTCCTCCTCCAAATCAATCGTCGTCGTCTCCATTTCTTTCTCCTCCTCTTTAGCTCCATAAGAAGAAAAAAAACTATATAGATTTTTCGGAGAGGTCTTTGGTTCCGGAACGTGATGGGTCAAGCTTTTCGTAAGCTGTTTGATACTTTCTTCGGCAATCAAGAAATGAGGGTATCCTCAAGATCCATCTTTTATATTTTATTGCATCATTTTCCTCATGGGATCTCTCTCCTGCTATATCTATCGTTCGTTGATTTGTTTGGTTTTTCTAATTCATATCTTATACAACCCATGTCTGGTCTTGATCTTGATCTTGATGTTTTAAATTATCAATCTTGTGTTTTTTTAAAAGTCATGTGTGATTTAGAATTTGTAGACCCATCATTACTTGTTGATGAGATTCATCAAAATGCCAAATTGATGGTTGATTCTTCTCTTTGTTTATTAATCATATATTTGTTGTGAGCTGTGGCATGGTGATCAGGATTGAACATATATGTGTTTTTTAAATCTTTTCAATTTTGTGAATTATGTCATTTTCAGGTCGTTATGCTGGGGCTAGATGCTGCTGGCAAAACAACTATTCTCTACAAGCTTCATATAGGAGAAGTTTTGTCAACTGTTCCCACGATTGGTAAGCTGTGTGCTTTTCCTTTTTGTTCCCCCCACTTCTTATGAACATTTCAGAATCTGTGTTCCTGTCTTAGTTGTGATTGTTCTTGTTCTCATTGGCTAATTAGTGTGGCCGTGTGGGATATATTTCTTGTTTTTGATAGATCTTTGGTGAAAGCTTTTAGATTCATTCTATTAAGACTTTACAAGAATTATGCAGTTTTATGATTGCTAATTCATGCAGTTGTTTTTGCCTTGACGAGTGTCTCTGTCTGTAAGATAAGTACTTGCGATATCTTCTCGTTCTGTCGAATCTCATGATAGCTTCACATACTGAAACTGTGCTAGCTTTGGCCTAGTTAGGGACTCATGTCTGCAAATTTCTCTTGTGTCATGCAGTTATGATACTTGGCGTATTGTCGTTTCTTGTGACATTATACTTTTACATGGTCATTATTCTGTTATTTTCCCTTTGGTTGCTTCTTGGATTATATGTTTGCTGACAGTTTGAACTATGTTGTGTAGGATTCAATGTTGAGAAAGTTCAGTACAAGAATGTCATGTTCACGGTTTGGGATGTTGGTGGCCAAGAGAAGTTGAGACCTCTTTGGAGGCATTACTTCAATAATACTGATGGACTTGTACGTATATAGTATTTTGCCCTTTGGACTTTCAGTCAGATACTTAAGTTTTAGGTTTCCAATTTTGATGTTGGTATATGTTGTTATCTTATATCTGGTTATGATGTTGCAGTATCATATGTTGCTTGGCCAATCTTGAGATCGCTGTCCATCTTTATCAGCTTTGGTATAAGTGTACTTACTCTATAATGCTATTGCAGATATACGTGGTGGATTCCTTAGATCGAGAGAGGATCGGAAAAGCTAAGCAAGAATTTCAGGTATACCTTAGAATTTGCAAAAGACTTTTTGTAAACTCTCTGGATAGTGCCTCAACCCACTCTCTTACTTCCTCAGGAGATCATAAAAGACCCATTCATGCTAAACAGTATCATTCTGGTGTTTGCAAACAAACAGGACATGGTAATTCGAGATTTATTTAATGTGTTTACTTGTTTCTCGTATGTGCTTCTTATTCCTCTATTCGCATCTTTTAATTCCTGCTGGATGTTAGAGAGGAGCCATGTCACCGAGAGAAGTATGCGAAGGGTTAGGATTATTTGATCTCAAGAACAGGAAATGGCACATACAAGGAACTTGTGCTCTTCGTGGAGACGGGCTCTATGAAGGCTTGGACTGGTTATCATCTACGCTTAAGGATGTTAAAGCCGCTGGATTCACATCGGTTGGCCCCTCCTTTTGAATCTTCCAGGTAGAAAGATACCCGAGAACATAGTAAGCTTGTCAGTACAATAACTCTCAGTCCCACGACCTTGATCTTGTAAATGTCGTTTCTCCTTGCAGGTGCTAAAACTGTGCTCCATGGCCAAAGTCTTTTTAAACACGAAATCAGAATCTCCATAGACTTTTTGCTCAGGAAAGAAAATTATCTTCTCATGGTGGCAATATTAGACTCAGTTAAGCTACTTCTGAATTTGGATCATGCTTCCATGAAAGCTTTCATTGTATGTACTGTATATTATGCTGACGAAAATTTGTATCATCTGAAAACCTTCCCTTTTTGTCTGTTGAAATTTTGGTAGATAGTATATTCCTTCGAAATCGTGATTTGTTTTTTTGGCTGACAGTCTAAAATGTAAATATCTGATTAAGCAAAGAGTATCCAACTCTGTTGGAAGGTTAAGCTCACCCGCCCTAGCAAGTAAGTTGAAAATAACGCCGTTTTGTCACTAATTCAAGGTTAACCAACCCAAACTCTCACAAACAACTGGATTACTGTAAACTGTAGAGCCCTACTGAACCTCAACATGTAAACCAAACTTTTCACTTTTTTACTTATAACCAAAAAATCCACCAAAACACGAATCTAAAGCCTAATATAACGCAAGCAAGTCTTGTCTGGTAGAACAAGCACACTATATTCGAGATCAGTATTCAAACTTCAAACTCTGACTCTCTCTAGGCAAATGTTCAAGCCAACCGTGAATCTCCCTCATCTGCAGCCATTGAATCTGATGATGGTTGTGCAGCAGCTACAGAAGAAAGTTGATAACTCAAGGTAAATAAACCAAAACATGCCCAAGAAATAATAAAAATAATAGAAGAAAGTAACAACAAAAACAGAAACTTAACTGTTTTCGCTTGGCGTCTCATTCTCACTTGTGGTCGTCATTGTCTCTGATGGTTCACCGATTGGTTCCATGTCAATCGTCATTGCGTCATCAACATCTGCTTCTTCTACCTCTGTCATTATCTCATCCTTATCGCCTCCCATTGCTTCAGTTCCATTTGGTGCCCAATCTGCAGCAGCTGTTTTTGTGTCTGTGGTTGTGGCATTTGGATCCTCAGTGGCTTGTGATTGTGGGTCTTTACTGATGGCTAACATAGAAGTAACCAGTAGATTCTGCAAATTTTTCACAAATCTAATGAAGAAATGTATATTTCAAGTACAAAACCAACAAAGGTAAGAATTTTAAATCCATACCTTTTCTAATGCAAGAGCTAGTTTAGAGAGCTTGGGGTAGATGCTCCTGGCAGCCAAAAGGATCTGTTAAACACAGTTAATCAAAAACTTCTGTCGTTATGATGCCAACTGAATTTCAGAAGCTTATAACCTCCAAAACAAAATAAGGAGCAGACTTTTAGAAGACACTTGCATGGCATGCTTAGACAATTACAAATTTCGCAAGAGTTATAAAGGGCTAATTTATGACTCCTGAACTTGTAAGATGATTAGAAACTGTATAACATGGAAAATCCTGATATATCCTAAATTCAAGGATATAAGTTTGTTTAGAAATCCAAGAGCATGGGGAACAACAGAGTGAAGGTATAGAGTCAACATATTTACCCTCTTACACTACCACACAAGTGAGTTTTATTATTAAATCATGACGGGCTAATAAGAACATGATATCTCACCACTCGGACATTGAAGTAAATCATGACCAGCAAATGCATATACTTACCTCACAGAGCCTCTGCAATGTAAATGGAGGGCCTTCATCAAAACTAAGAAGGGCTGAAAACAAGACAAAAACTAATTAGACATATTTCAAACAGTGAAATTAAAGAGGTCTCTGGGTAAACAAGAACACTCAACGTTGTAAAAGCATAATTAAAACTGGAAAAGGTCAGAAACACACAAAAACATACACAACTGAAATGCAAAGCCCCTGACACAATTCTTAGCATATGCCTATGTCCCCCAGTGTATAAATGACACAGCCATTTCATTTCTCATATACTGATATACACAGGTTACTTTCTTAGAATTTCACACATGGATTTTTTTTGGTAGCAATTTTGAACAAAAGAGGAAAACAGATAGATAATAATTGATGAGATAAAAAACGATGGATGACGACCAAGATTTTATGCAAAGCCTTTTCTCACACTTTCAAACTCTTGTCTACATAAATTTTTTTTGCAATAAAGTAACAAAACTAACAAATGAGTAGATATAGACCTTCATCCAATCGACTAACCAGCTCTGAGTATGTTTCTCCTAGAGCTTCCTTCTGTTGTTCGTCCGTCATTTTTGCCTCAGGATATTCCGACAGAACCTTTTACAATGCACCACATAGATAGTTAAAAATTGAAATAATCAGGATGGATGTGGAATGGTAATATATATTCTAAACACATAGCTGGTATACCTGTACATACCTTCTTCAACCAACACGATAGAGTTCCTTTTAGTTTCTCCCAGTCCTCCCTATAGTGTATTATTAAAAGGTAAGATAGCAGTCAACTAGATGTAGCAAAACAGAGATGAGACCCTAAAACCCATAATTACTCAGAAAGAAACGCACGCATCAATACACAGAAGTCTACAGAACAATAACAAAAAAGAAAAGGTAAGGATAAGATAGGATGCCAGTTTAAGTGCATAATCAGCAATGGCTACTCATAGCAATTAAAAAGTGGTATTACCAGAACTTCCCGGTAGATGCTACTGCTTCTAATGTGCTCTTCACTTCTTCCTTAGACATATCTGCTTTCTGCTCAGCTCCACTGCAAAAGAAAGATGGATCTGTTTCAGCACAGAGATGAAAAGTAACACTGAACAAACTGAATCATGAAATATTTCAGATGTGTGAAGCTAAAGTCCAGAACTCGTGACCTCATTTAGCCATCGACCAAGATTAATAAGTTAACCTCAGTAGTGTTCTTGCATTATCTTCCTAAACATATATAAGGTCATGATATCATGGGACCAGCTTAATAAACTTAAATCAGATCTAAAATCTTAAGAAAAAGTTGTGAAAAACTGGAGCTAAGCTAGATCCTGAACAGTAAAGGTGACTTGATCGATTCGAAAAGTCAAATATCCAAGAAACCAAACATTTTGCACAATAGAACTCAAAGAACACTATATGAAGTAGCAGCATTAACTTATAAAGATCGGAGCGGACAAAATTCAAAGCGCAGAAGCAAACAGGAGTGATGTAAATCAAGAGATTTGGAGAAAACGACTGAAGAAAAGGAGGAAAGCAAAACATACGAGTGCTCGAGAACTTGGGAATCCTGGCGTTGAGCGTCGTCAGTGAGAGGAGCGACGGAGGGAATCTGGGGAGTTTCATGTTCCGATGATGATGGATTCTCCATTTTGGCTTCAGACTCGAGAGAGAGAACGAGAGAGAGCAGTATCCGGATTTGGTCGAATAAGCCCTTAAAAATCGTGAAATACGCAATTCGCAGTATATAGCAGAGTGAAATTTTCAATTTTGTTCTGACCCGACCCGACCCGAACCGAACCGGATCCGATTCGACCCAACCAAATGCTCATTTTATATGCGAAACACGTGAAGGCGAGAAAGGTGATTAATAAACTAATATGGGTTCTTACAATTAGATAGAGAAGAATATTCTTTTTTGGCCTTAGGTTAGAGTTAGACTTTACAGTAAATTAATTAGGGTTTAGGATTTTACTTTTTTTTTTTTATGTTAACAAACAAAGTATATACAGTAGTTGGGATGAAAAAGTAAAGATTTTAATTCTTACAACATGCTTCATGATAACCTCTTGTTTATTTATTATCGGGTCAGTCGCTGACCAAACAAAAAGAAAGGTTCACGTTTTCTCTAACCCTGTAAAAAGTAAAAAGTAAATTTTCAATTTTACCATTTTTCATTTGTTGATTGATAGTGACATATATTATTTATTGTCTATCACAAACGAATATTTAAGAAATTGCAGCCTCGTTTCATTTTTGCTTCGTTAGTCTTTTCTGCTTTGCAATATAAGTTGGGGTAGGGTATGATATCTCTATCACATCTCTGTGTAAAACAAAAAGTTGGAATTAGGTTGGTTTCTGAACCTTTACCTTTCAAATCAATCGTAAAACATTAAAACTATTTATAAACCAAGTCTTCCTCTGGATGGGTACGGGGGATAGCGTAGCGGGGTTGTTTTACGAGAAAACTGTGGTTGAATCTACAACCTACGTACAACGTAAGCCAACAGATTATAGAGTTTGTTTATAACCAAAAAATAATTAATATGAATAATAGTTGCTTATCAGTAACGTCTTATATATGAAATGTAACCTTGATCATAAATCTTATTACCAAATAAAAAAATATCTACTGTAAAAAATATACATGCATGACCCCGTTTTATAGATAAAATATCATCCCATTACAACATATATATGCAAATATACTCAACTGTTCTCATCATATATGTCTCTTTAATATTGCTACAAATTGTTCTTGATATCAATAATAATGATATGATATGTCATTAATTACAAAGTACGTTATTCATACATGCATATAGTTTAGTAACTTTAGTAATCTGTTTATTACTCTTAAAACAAGTAATTCAAATTAGACTGCAGGTACTAGGCCTACTACGTACGTACGTGATTATTATTTATTTTTTTTGTTAAAGCGTACGTGATTATTTATCATATTATCAACCTCAACTATTTTTATAAAATACTATATATATATCCATAGGAATGTAAACATGTGTTTGTGTTGTGAGCATATATATATATGTGACATTGTTCCTCCTTAACCCCCAGAACCCGCGTTCATCATCGTTATCCCCTCTCTCTGCCCATACCTTAAATTAAAATTAGTCTCTCTCTCTCTCTCTCTCTCTCTCTCTCTCTCTATGCGAGATTTGTTGTTTGTTCCCTCATCAGAAGTCAGATACACACAGTTATCTTGTCCAACGAGTAATGTGACGTCACGTAACATTTTGGCTTCAGACGAGAGAGAGAGAGAGAGAACTATCAGGATTTTATCGAATAAGCCCTTAAAATCGTGAAATACGCAATTCGCCGGATAAAGAGTGAAACTTTCAATTCGCCGGACGAGAAGTCGAGAAAGGTGACTAAATTATTATTTTGGGTTAGGGTTTAGAAGAATTCTTTTTTGGCCCTAGGTTTAGACAGTATATATTTTTCCTTCTGGTATTGTGAATACCATGGAACATTTTTTTGTGTTTAACAATGATTAAAGTTATGTGGAAACTAAAATTTCAAAATTAAATTCTTCCTTTTTTCAACACATCATGGTACACACTCTATTTTTTATTTTTATTTTGTCTCAAACAATCGGTTCATTTGCTGGGGGAAACAAAAAAGAGTGATCTATGCCTTTCTCTCTGACCCTTAACAAAAAAAAGTAAAATTTAATTTTACCATCTTTCATTTATTGATAGTGACATATTCATTGTGATAAGAATATAATACACATTTTTTTTATGCGTCTGGTATGCCATGTTTATTTATTATTACCATTGCCGCCTTCCATTTTGTTTAGTCTGTCTTTTGTTATAGGCTGGTACTACTAGTACTAGGGTATGATTTCCTATTACATCTATCTCTCTCCATATATGTAGATAAAACTATTATTACAACAATCAATAGAGAAGATAAAAGCATAAAGAAATAATTGTATATGGCTTTCTCATGAAATCTTTATTGATGAAATAACGTGCATTGATTTTTATAAATAAAAAAAACCCTAAAACGAATATAAATGCATGACCCATTAGAGTACACTCAGCCGTTCTACCCTTAAATATTTTACACTGCTACATAATTGCTATGATGATAATGTCATTCTAAAATGTTATTCCTGAATATTTAACTATTCATCGTGAAGGACTGAAGGGTATCAATTAGATTATTGTTTTTGGGTTTGGCGTAATACCCACAATGCTTTAGTAGTCCATTGTTTCGATGTGTTGGGGTCTTGTCACGAACTCATACGTATTTCTATTTTCCTGCAGGTGCGACAGGTAAGAAGAAGAGCAAGAGATATTTAGTGACTTATTTATGACTGTTATGATATTATCGCAAAAAAAAAAAAAAAACTAATTTACAAAATTTATATAGAGAGAAAAAGAGAGTAAATTTTAGGTATATATGATTAAAAATTAATTAGGGTACGTATATCATTCTTGTAACTAATAAGTAGTTTTATGCTCTAATTAAAATTCCCAAATTACTTTATATATGGGACGTAATACGTACCATATTACATAATAATTGGGATAGATGTGAGGAGCATGACCAGTAAGTAAACAACATGAGTCCATAGAATCTGATTCGTTTCATCGTTATCCGCTCTCGCGCTCTCTCTCCCCAATATACAAGCAAATAAATACCGTATAAGAAAGAGATCGGCCAATTTGTTTATTTATGGAAACAAAAAAATTACATGTTCAAGAACATATTGGTTACGAACAATAAATTTAATTAATATACTGTAATAGAAAGAGATAAATGTACTACATCGAAGTACACGGTGTAGGTTTGTGAATTAATCTGAAGTTTATCTTTTCAATCCATTTTATCCTTCCATTAATTAGGAGATCGAGATAGTCAAGTTAAGAAATTGTGTGGAGTAAAAAATATATGTTTCGTAAGTGACTCATAAGTATGTTTTAATTTAGTTCCATGCATAATAGCCTAATAGGTAATTAGTAATAAAGATTTTTTTAACTTGTAAGAGATAAGCAAATTTAAGCAAGAATGATCAAGAGACTAGTCAAAAATTTAAGGGAAACTAGCTTTTCGAGAATCCTCATTTTTAAATAGTTTTAAAAAAAATGCGAAGGCTTGTCTTTTAACTTTTTATATTCCCTTGTTCATCAAGAAATATGATCGAACTTGCATACATTAATACATATATCAATACCCAACTCTCTAAAACTATATATATGAAAAAGTATCTACATAGTATAATTTGTGATTTATATATGAGAGTAGTTTCGTTATTAACAGGTAAGAAAGTGTTTTTTCTTTCTTTTTCTTTTGTTAATAAGAAAGAAAAAAATGTTTTATCTAGCCAGCCAGGTTGTAAATCTATAACATTTAGTGAATTAATAACAAAAAAAAAAAAGAGAAAGTTTTCTGCAACGGAAACATGGATTGAGCATGCGGCCGTACATCAAAATTTGTCATCTTATATTATACACACAATCTTTTTTTTTTTGGTCAAGTATACACAATCTCAATCCCCTGAAGTAATCCCCTATGATATACCAATACTCAAAAATACTTTATAATGCTCACACTTTGTCTTATATTGCAACTTATAAATTTAATTTTAATAGTACTCAAGAGAATTCGATAATTTGTTTATAATCGGCTTGCTTATTTTAGATGATATTAAAATGGTTTCTTAAATGAACTTTCTAAAATGAAAAACCAAAACTATCTAATTTTATTATACATAAGTATAAAACTAATACATCAAGGCATGCATTGACACACACACACACCACTTGTTTATCCAAAAAAATATTCGTTTTACATGATTTTTTTGTCATTAACTGCTTTTCTTTTCAATAATTTTTTCCTCTCTTAATTTTTCCAATTCAACTCGAAAAACCATTGAAATTAAAGTTGAAGGAAAAAGGTGAAAAAGGGGTACTAATAAAAACAAAAAATTAAGAAAAATGTTCATGCTCACTCCGTTCTCTATTAAGTCCCCCTAGCCTAAACCTTTTGTTTTGTTTCGTCTCTTTACGCAGATCCCGTACATCGTCTCTCTCATTTCCCAGGAAAACAAAAAACAAAACGTCTCTGATCCCTCATCCTCTCATTCTCTCTTTCTTCTTTCTGTTTTTCTTTTCTTTTTCTTTTCTCTTTTACGAATCGTGTTTAGCAAACCAACATCATCCATGGAGGAGGCTGATAGTAGTGGAGGAGGTTCAGGTGATATTGGGGGTTACGTAGGAGGAGGAGGTGATATAGCTGCCGGTGGAGGAGGTTCAGGTGATATTGGGGGTTACGTCGGAGGAGGAGGTGATATAGCTGCCGGTGGAGGAGGTTCAGGTGATATTGGGGGTTACGTCGGAGGAGGAGGTGATATAGCTGCCGGCGGCAGAGGTAAAAACAAGGGTAAAAATATCCCTAACCAAGCCAGAGTCGACGCAGAAATACGACGGGAACAAGTGAGGAAAAGACAACTTGATATTGACTTGGCAGGTCCCGCTCATCAGCTTCCACCACAGGTCCTAATTATATTGATTTTCTTCTTCTTCTTCTTCTTCTTTTTTTTTTTTTTTTTTTTAAGTTTCTGTTCTTGCTTGCTGCGGCGTTATGCTTATAGTTTCTCTTATTTAAATGTCTACAAAAAATTTGTGGATATGAGATTCTTCTTAGTATACTAATAGTTTCTTCTATATTATTTGACGAAAATCTGAACTTTACTGTATAATAATATTTGTTCTTAAAAATAAACATTGTAGGATTATGGTGATGGTAGTCAAATGCTTATACACTGGGTTCTCACTTATCCAGATCTACTTTCGGAAATTTATAAGCAAGAAAGAGGTATCAATACATACTTATTAAAAACATATATGTTTTCTTAGTTTAAGCATACTAATGAAAGTTCACTTCAACATCATTAATTGTTGTTTTGTATATGTACTTATGTAGATGATTGCTGGGCCATCTCTCTGTGTGCGATCTTGCTATTTCACCTCAACAAAGATCGTCCTACCAATCAACACCGTGCAGTGGACATCGAAAACTTTATCAGGGATGTAAAATTTTCGCCTGCGGCCGTCAAATCCAAAAAGAAGTTCAACGCAATGGACTATGCTGTTGGCTCTTTGAGGAAAGCCATCGATTACCTACATAGCCCAGGAATAGGAAAGGCTGATGGGAGAAAGGTACTATGAACTAATGCTTACTATGTATACGTGTCTGTCTCAATGTGACAACTCTATTTTCTCGATTTTATGATAATGAGGAATGAAATTTTCTCCATTATTTTGTAGGGATCTAAAGCTTCTACTTTTAAAAGTGAATTTCGTAAGAAAGATAATGCTTCCCCTGAGTTCATTGCTGACCTTGTGCAAACAAATGGTCTTGTTGGCATCATTGTTGCTTTGGATGTGGACTTCACTGATTACGCGGGGGTAAGTGAAAGAGTTTAGAGTTAAAAAATATGATTTTTTGAATTAGTGCTCATACAATTTATTGATAATGTGAAAATGAGTGATTTCAGGGAATTCTAGTGTTACGCAAACCATTAAGAGACTCCGGTCTTTTAAGACATGCCCTTGTAATTGTCGCGCATGGGAGAATGGAAGATGGAGCATTATTCTTCATTTTGCAAAACTCATGGGGGTCTGGATGGGGTGCTAACGGCTACGCGAGAGCTATTTTTGATGGTGATTCCGACATCTTTTATCTACACAAGCTTTTAGATTGAGACCAAACATTGTTCTTCTGAACACATTTGTGATCCTCTCTTATTTTGGAAAACGCTTTTAGAGTCAAGGCCAACTAATACGCCTTTGTTTAGTTGATTTGCTATGTTTTACCTAGCTTTTGAGATTTTTCTTAATTAGCTTCCAGAATCAAATTTATGTTAAATATTTCTTAATAAACGAGATGATAGAATGTTTTATCTAAGGGTTGATCCAACACCATTACCATTCTTTATTTAATTTACCTTAAAAAGTACTAACTCATGAACATATTATATCGACCATTTAATTCGCCATTGAAACCCAAATTTTCTCATGCATGTTGCATCATTAAATTGTCTGATCAAAGAAAATGTTAAAACCTTATTATTTTCAAACAACAAAAATTTAGAATCGAAGTACTAGTCACTCATGGAGTGTACTGAAACAAGGATTCTAAAAGATTTTGAGGCTTAAATTCACTTGTTATTCAATCAATGATTTACAAAAAGCATCTCAAATCCACTGTTATTCAAACTAAAACTAAACTTAATTAAATTTTTAATGAAAACTGATTTTTGGAAACTTTAGATACAATTTTAGTTGAAAACTTTGAATGTAAAAATTCCACCTCCTACCGGTGAAATTTTTAAAATAAAATTACAGATCATAAAAAAACATTCCCATAGTGCTTCACGTTAAAAAAACATGTGAGTTATGCTAGCATTAAGACCACCTCCAATTGTTTTTTAAAGAAGATTCTTAAATCATTAAAAATAAATCAAAAATATCAATATAGCTATGCATCAATCAAAAATATAGCTATGCATAGTTAAGGATTTTTGAGGATCACCAAGAACTTTTGATGTGTCAAATTTTTATTGGTTGTCATTATTTTAGGTCTTATGAAAATGTAATTTATAAATTTTTAAAATATAAATTTTAGTTAAAATAAAATTCTTAAGAACTCTAATGGAGTTTTACCATTGGAGAACGAAAAAAAAAAGAAATCTCTTAACGAGATTGTTAGTTTTAAATAGTACAAAATTTATGATTAAAATAATTTTAAAAACTCACTAAGAATTTTATCATTGGAGGTGCTTTAATTTTAAAAACTCCAGACATACTCACCAATGTAGTTTGGGCTAGAACTGCTTTCAATCTCTTCCTTTACATGGTAGCTAGTAGATTATCAGTTCTTGTAGAGTTATAGAGTAGTTTTTAATAGACTTATAATATTCAACTAGGTTCGGATCCACGCTACAGCAAGGAAGATATCTACATATATATAACTTTTAACGGATTAGAACATGTTACATTTTAATTTATTGTAATGCAGTCGATTACGGTGAATTGTGTAATAAGTTTAAATAAAATAATAAAGAGAAAAACATAAATAAATAATAATATATTGAGTTGTTATACAATTATAAAACGGTGAAAATTTAACAGCACAAAATAATATTTAACGATAAATTATTCAGTTTGACCATTTTTGTAGTAGAAGTAGGAATATAGTAAAAAATACATACTTACAATATATATTTTGAAAGACCGACCCGTAACAGAATTCATTTCATAAAAACAATTTTCTTAACTCACTCTACCATTATAATTATGAGTTTAACAAACTAAGCCGTGAACTACCTAAAATTTACATAGTTTGATATATAATATATTTTATCAACAAAAATTATGTCTCCATAATTACATCTAGGTCTCCAAAATAATATTTTTAATATTATGAATTCTAATTTTTTTTTTAAAATCTTTTAAAATTTTCAATATTAAAATATTTGAGTCTTTTGATTATAATATTTTGAAACATTTTAAAATTTTAAATATGCTAAAATAACAAGGGAGATTTGCACAACTAACCTTTATTATGATACCCTTTTCTACAAGTACCCACTCTAGGTGTTCATTTTCAAAAATACCCTCTTCAATGTACAAATGACTAAATTACCCTCTTTTATTATAACCCATGATGAAAAAAGGAATATTCTTCCAACAAAAAGAATATTCCTTCCGAAAAATTTCCCGCCAAAAATTTTCGGAAAAATTTTTCCCGCCAAAAAATTTTCCCGCCAAAAAATTTCCGACAAAATTTTTCCCGCAAAACATTTTCAGCCAAAATTTTTCCGCAATTTCTTAAAAAAACCTTGTAAATATTTATAAATCCCTTAAAAAATCCTTTAAAAACCCTTGTAAATCTTTTAAAAGTCATCCAAAACCTTTTAAAACTTGAGTAAACCTTTTAAAACCATTGTAAATCATTTTATAACATTTATAAACACTTGTAAATCCCTTTAAACCACTTATAACCGTGATAAATCATTTAATAAAAACTTTTGTAAACTTCTAAAACCCGTTAAAAACCCTTGTAAATCCTTAAAACCCATTTTAAAGAACTTGTAATACCTTTAAAAACTTTTGTAAACCCTTCAAAAACCTTTGTAAACTTCTAAAACCCTTTAAACTTCTTGTAAATCCTTTAAAACTATTTTTAAATCTGTGTATGCCTTTAAATATACTTTTAAATCCTTTTAAAAACACTTGTAAATCATTTTAAAATCCTTTAAAAATTCTTGTAAATCCTTTTAAAATTGTTATAAACTTATAAAAACTTTTAAAAACCATTGTAAATCATTTAAAAACCATTTAAAAACCTTTGTAGGCTTCTAAAACTCTTTAAAAACCATTACAAATGTTTTAAAAACCATTTAAAAACTCTTGTAAATCCCTTTAAAAACCCTTTTAAACCCTTTAAAAAACCCTTTAAAAAAATTTGGCGGGAAAATTTTGAGAAAATATTTTTTTTTGCGGAAATTTTTTGGCGGGAAAATTTTCTCGGGAAAATTTTTGGCGGGAAAATTTTTTCTCGGAAACTTTTTTGGCGGGAAAATTTTGGCGGGAAAGTTTTTGGCGGGAAATTTTTTGGGGGGAAAATTTTTGTAAGGAATATTCCTTCTTTTGTGAAAGAATATTCTTTCAAATATGGGTAAAATATTCATTAAAACTTAAAAGAGGGCAAAAATGAAAATGGTAAAAAAAGATGGTATTTTTAAAAGAGATTATCATAAAAAGGTTATTGGTATCAATTTCTCAAATAACAATGGTTATAATATTGGTAAAACTTATAATGATTTAAAACCATTGTCTAAAATATTTAACCGAGTGTTGTTGAGTATTATATTTCTGTTTTGAAAAATTCAAACTGCAAAACATGCAAAAAATAATAAAATAAAAATTTTAAAATATTTTTAGTATATAATATGATATCAAAATTAATAATAAGATCAAATAAAAGTGAAAGAAGATTAATAATAGTTTTTAATATATTATATTAAATTAGTTAGAGAAATATTAGGAAATACTAGAATTAGTTATGGGAATAATATAATCCTAAAACTAGATATGGGAAGTATCCGATTTATGTATTCAAACCCAATTTAGGCGTTGAATGGTTGTAGATTGTAAAGTTGATTTTGGTTTTAGTTTTTTTTTGAAATATACTTTATAGCCAATCAATATTACGAGAAAAATGGTTTTCCTAAAATATTGAGAATCTAGATTTTAATGGGTTTTGTCAATTTGTAAAGAAAATCTAAAATCCATATATATATCACTTATTCATTTGTTTAACGTGACTGAATTTATTTTTTCTATTATTTTTTTTTAGGGAAAATTGAAAATAAAGGATAAATTTTTACAAAGTTGTCCATATGTGTATTCTATGATCAAAATTGGTGACATATGCTTTTATATAATTAAAACCCTATTATATCCCTAATTTTTAGAAATCTTATAAAAATATTTCATAAATTGATTTAATTTTTCTATTTTTAATTTTTTTGTGGATAAATATGTAGGGTAAAAAAATATTTTTTAGTTACATAACTTCCTGGATTTATTATATGTACATAGTACTTGCTTTGTGAGTTGTAGTCTTGGTTTATCATTATTTGTTGGGTTTATTATTGGTACGCAGTAACGGAGCCAGGAAAAAAATTTATCAAAGAAAAAAATTTAGCAATTAAATATTTAGAAAACACAAAAAAGAGACAAATAAATGTATCATGAGAATATTGAACTTGGGTTTCGGGGTGTCAAAAATCTGAAGAAAACCAACTTTGCTTCTGAAATTGCACTAATATATAAACAAAAACACTTTATTTTAACATTTTACGTAGGTTAGTTGACCCCCTAACTTCTATATGGTACCGCCCCTGTTGGTACGTAATAGTCTTCGTTAACATCTGTAGTTAATTAACAAAACAAACATATTACATGTTATTTACGATCTAATGTTGTTGATGTAGCGAAACACCAAATGTTATAGTACTCAATCGTAAGAGTTAGAGGTGTCGCTCTGTGTTTCGACGTCATAATCTAAAATGTTATTTACGATCTAAAATTAACATCTGTAGTTAATTAACAAAACAAACATATTACATGTTATTTACGATCTAATGTTGTTGATGTAGCGAAACACAAATGTTATAGTACTCAATCGTAAGAGTTAGAGGTGTCGCTCTGTGTTTCGACGTCATAATCTAAAATGTTATTTACGATCTAAAATTAACGTGTATTGTGTTTGGTACTTGAATTAGTCTTTATTTTTTCTTTAATATGCAACGTTAGAGTGATGAGATTCTGAGTTTATCCACGTGAGACAAGCCATTAACTGAGCCGGAGGGTTCATGCTTGCTTTAGAAGTGAAAAAACTCCAAACTTCATAGTCTACACTCCACACTCGAAACAATTTTCCATTTGTTTGACTTTGTCAATAGTACTTCATAATAATCAAACAATGAGGATTTAACGTTTGATTGTATAGTTTGTATTCACTCATGTCAACCAAATATGGCTGTTTTCTTAAATTATGTAGAATATTTTCTATTTTTAATAGAATATAGGAAAAAAATTGTAAGAATATGCATTCTAATAAATTTAAAACATGAGTAAATGCTAGAAAATGTATTCTAAATTTTGTAGAAGAAAGAAGAAACTATAAAATATGTATTATAAATTTCGTAGCAATTTGTATTCTAAATTTCGTAGAACATAAAGGAGTTCTAAATTTTGTAGAATACATAATCTGTATTTTATAGAACATGTATAGTCTATAAAATACACATTCTACATATTCAAAACTTTGTAGATCAAATTTTATCTATCCAAAACTTCAACAAAAACAACATAGTTTTTTGTCCAAAAAAACAAAACAACAACATAGTTTAAATTTTTTTTATGTATCCTCGTGCTTTTATTATCATTTCTCTACTAATTGTTCTTAGCTTTTTTGAAAATATTGATTAAACCTATAGAAAGGGTAATTTAGAAATATTTGACATTTATTCATAGAACTAGAGGATGGCCCGTGCTTTCGCACGGATGATATTTTTTAAACTAAAGATATAATTGGATTTGTATTAATATTTGGTATTCAATAGTATAGGATAAACATATTAGTATTGTATATTTTAATTTTAATTCTATAGAGTTAAATCGCGTGTTGATTTGTATATTTTAACTGTATAAAAATTAAATAATATATACAATAGTAATTAGGTCTGGTTTTAATATAAGTACGTATATATTATATTTTCCCGAAAACCGTTAAATTTATCAATCACGGACATTACCTCAACGGTGTATAATAAAATGCAATCTTTTAATATAATTTACAAAAATTGTATATCGGTTGAAAGATAACATAAGTGATATATAACAATTTCATAAATTTGGATAATCTATTTATGAATACCTTATGAATAAAATTTAACTATTGGCAAAAGTATATGATAAACTAATCTGCTAAAATGTTAACAAAAAAGGAAAATATGATAAATATTGTAATTGTAAACAATTTTAATATAAAATTTAATCTTTAATCTACTTGAAATAAGGTAAATTAAATGTTTTAAGTTTAATAATGTACCAAATATTTAAATTTAGAAATATTAATGAAAAACATAAAA